AGTAATAATAATAATAGTAATAATAATAATAATGATAATAATAGTAATAATAATAATAATAATAATAGTAATGATAATAATAATGGTAATAATAGTAATAATAATAATAATAGTAATAATAATAATAATAGTAATAATAATAATGATAATAATAATAGTAATAATAATAATAGTAATAGTAATAATAATAATGATAATAATAGTAATAATAATAATAGTAGTAGTAATAATAATAATAGTAATAGTAATAATAATAATAATAGTAATAATGATAATGATAATAATAATAATAATATAAATAACAATAACAACAGGCAGCAATATGTCTGCTGTGGACTCATCTTGTGTTTCAAATAACAACAACAACAACTCTTGTCCAATTCTGTTGATGGTGGGGTTCAGAATGCTCTTTCATTGTAGGTGAACTATAAATCCCAGCAACTACAACTCCCAAATGTCAAGGTCTATCTTCCCCAAACTCCACCAGTGTCCACATTTGGGCCTATTGATCGTTCATGCCAAGTTTGGTCTAGATCCATAATTATTCGAGTCCACAGTGCTCTCGGGATATAGGTGAACTATAACTCCCAAACTCAATGTAAATGCACACCAAACCCTTCCAGTGTTTTCTGTTGGTCGTGGGAGTTCTGTGTGTCCAATTTGGTTCAATTCCATCCTTGGTGGAGTTCAGAATGCTCTTTGATTGGAGGTGAACTATAAATCCCAGCAACAACAACTCCCAAATATCAAGGTCTATTTTACCCCAAACTTCACCAGTGTACACATTTGGACATATGGAGTATTTGTGCCAAATTTGGTCCAGATTCATCATTGTTCGAGTCCACAGTGCTCTCAGGATGTAGGTGAACTACAACTCCCAAACTCAATGTCAATGCCCACCAAACCCTTCCAGCATTTTCTGTTGGTCGTGAGAATTCCGTGTGATGGTGTTCCCCTTTCTGTTGGTCGTGGGAGTTCTGTGTGTCAAGTTTGGTTCAATTCCATCCTTGGTGGAGTTCAGAATGCTCTTTGATTGGAGGTGAACTATAAATCCCAGCAACGACAACTTCCAAATATCAAGGTCTATTTCCCCCAAACCCCACCGGTGTCCACATTTGGGCATATTGAGTGTTCGTGCCAAGTTTGGTCCAGATCCATCATTGTTCGAGTCCACAGTGCTCTCGGGATGTAGGTGAACTACAACTCCCAAACTCAATGTCAATGCACACCAAACCCTACCAGTGTTTTCTATCAGTCATGAGAGTTCTGTGTGTCAAGTTTCTCTTGGTTGTAGGAGTTTTGGGTGCCAAGATTGGTTCAATTCCATCCTTGGTGGAGTTCAGAATGCTCTTGGATTGGAGGCGAACTATAAATCCCAGCAACTACAACTCCATGTATCTTTCCACGTTTTCCTCTTGGTTCTGGTTCCCAACTTCTCTCCTACGTAGAGTCCCAGTGACCGGGAGCACCGCTTGCGCATGGCTGTGGGGAGTGGGCTGCGGCCGGACGTCTGGCGCCAGTTCCTACGCCGTTTCGGACCCGTGCACGTTGTGGAGACGTACGGCATGACGGAGGGCAGTGTCACCTTCTTCAACTACACCGGTACCGTGGGCGCCGTGGGTCGCGCGTCTCCGCTCTACAAGGTGAATATTCCTGATTAGGAAAAAGATGCAATATGTTTTCATTTTTTAATCAATGCTCCCATTAGAAAATACATAATGATGTGAGTGAACTACAACTCCCAGAATCGTGGGTCAATCCTACCCAAACAAGGCCTGTATGCACAGCTGGGCATGTTGCATCTGTGTGTCAAATATGGTCCAGATCTGTCGTCTTTCAGTGCTCTCTGGATAAGGGTGAACTACAATTCCCATATTCCAAGGGTAGTCATTTCCAAATCCTATCAGGTGAACTATAACTCCCATATGCCAAGGGCAGTCACTCCCAAATCCTGTCAGTATTCACAGCTGGTCATGTTGGCTCTGTGTGTCAAGTGTGGTCCAGATCTGTCGTCGTCTGGGTTCAGTGCTCTCTGGATAAGGGTAAACTACAATTCCCATAGTCCAAGGGCAGTCATTCCCAAATCCTGTCAGGTGAACTACAACTCCCATATGCAAAGGGTAGTCACTCCCAAATCCTGTTAGTATTCACAGTTGGTCATATTGGGTCTGTGTGTCAGGTGTGGTTCAGATCTGTCGTCATCTGGGTTCAGTGCTCTCTGGATAAGGGTGAACTACAATTCCCATATTCCAAGGGCAGTCATTCCCAAATCCTGTCAGGTGAACTACAACTGCCATATGCCAAGGGCAGTCACTCCCAAATCCTGTCAGTATTCACAGTTGGTCATGTTGGGTCTGTGTGTCAAGTGTGGTCCAGATCTGTCATCGTCTGGGTTCAGTGCTCTCTGGATAAGGGTGAACTACAATTCCCATATTCCAAGGGCAGTCATTCCCAAATCCTGTCAGGTGAACTACAACTCCCGTATGCCAAGGGCAGTCACTCCCAAATCCTGTCAGTATTCACAGCTGGTCATATTGGGTTTGTGTGTCAAGTGTGGTCCAGATCTGTCATCGTCTGGGTTCAGTGCTCTCTGGATAAGGGTGAACTACAATTCCCATATGCCAAGGGCAGTCACTCCCAAATCCTGTCAGTATTCACAGTTGGTTATGTTGGATCTGTGTGTCAAGTGTGGTCAAGATCTGTCGTCCGCTGGGTTCAGTGCTCTCTGGATAAGGGTGAACTACAACTCCTATATTCCAAGGGCAGTCATTCCCAAATCCTGTCAGGTGAACTACAACTCCCATATGCCAAGGGCAGTCAGCCCAAATCCTGTCAGTATTCACAGTTGGTCATGTTGGGTCTGCGTGTCAAGTGTGGTCCTGGTCTGTTGTTGGCTGGGTTAAGTGCTCTCTGGATAAGGGTAAACTACAATTCCCATATTCCAAGGTCAGTCACTCCGAAATCCTGTTAGTATTCACAGTTGGTCATTTTGGGTCTGTGTGTCGTGTGGTCCACATCTGTTGTCGGCTGGGTTCAGTGCTCTCTGGATAAGGGTGAACTACAACTCCCATATGCCAAGGACAATCACCCCCGAATCCTGTCAATATTTACAATTGGTCATGTTGGATCTGTGTGTCGTGTGGTCCACATCTGTTGTCGGCTGGGTTCAGTGCTCTCTGGATAAGGGTGAACTACAACTCCCATATGCCAAGGACAGTCACTCCCAAATCCTGTCAGTATTCACAGTTGGTCATGTTGGGTCTGTGTACCAAGTGTGGTCCAGATCTGTTGGGGCTCAGTGAACTACAACTCCTATAAATCAAGGTAAATTTCCCCCCAAACCTCGTCATAGGGGTTCTGTTTGTCAAATGCGGTCCGGGTCCATTATCAAAGGGGGTCACAGTGCTCTGCTTTAATGCAGGGTGAACTACAACTTCCAACTACAAACCCCTCCAGATTGTTCAGTTGCTGATCAATTTATTGTGTGCTGAAAGAAAGGGTTAAGGGAGAGGCAGTGAGTGGGACAATGCAAATTCCACACCAATGGAGAGAGAAAGGAACCCTGGGATGCCTGCCTGCGGTGGAGGAGGAAACACCTAAAATCTAGTCCCTGAATGAAAGCACTCCTTGGGTGGTGGGGAGGACATTGGCAGAGTTTGGATTACATGTTTCCTGCAATGTCAGTGGAGAGAGTGCCTTTGGAGCCTTCCCAGCACTTTAGGCACTATAGAGGCCCAAGGCTGTTTGTGTAAGTGGACACCTCCGCCACATACACATATATTTTTGCATATAGAAGCTAGATAGATGTTCCAGAGCATGTTCCAGATACGTGAAACTGTGGGTGAGTCTTTAAAAATGTCGTATTAGAGGAACGTTACCCACAATCCCAAATATTTTACCCGTTCTCCCATATTGCCTCTGAATTATATATTTCTTTTCAAACAGATTTTCAGTGCTTTTGAGCTGATCCGTTACGACGTGGTCGAGGGGGCTCCCGTTCGGAACCAGGACGGACGCTGCCTTCGAGTGAAACCGGGTGAGTTTGACGAGTTTCCTTCCCTTTCCCTCTGCCTCGTTCCCGTTCCGTGATCTCAACCACCGCCCCGTTTTCCGGCCACTTGTGACAGGAGAGCTGGGGCTCCTGATTTCGCCGGTGACGTCCGAAAAGCCGTTCCTGGGGTACGCCGGAGCTCGAGAGCTCTCCGAGTCCAAGCTTTTGCGAGGGGTCTTTGCCGACGGTGACGTTTACTTCAACACTGGCGATTTGATGGTGCAAGACGACCACGGCTTCATCAGCTTCCGGGACCGGATCGGAGACACTTTCCGGTGGGTTGTGTACGGTATTGTACGGCTTTGAGACGATTCTGTGTTATGGCAGAATCATAGCATAGGATCACTCAGAGGATTTAGAAAGTTCCTTGGCGGGTTTAAATTCTAGGCTAAGTTATTTATTTATTTATTTACAGCTTTTCTATTCCGCCCTTCTCCTCACCCCGCAGGGGACTCAGGGCGGATTACAGTGTACACAATGCCAATTTTTGACATACAAACATATACAGACATACACAGAGGCTATTTAACTTTTTCTGGCCGCCAGGGGAGCTGTCGCTTTCATCGTCCATCTGCGACGCTGATGAAGCACTTCCGGATTCCCTGCATGCTTCCCCGCTGGAATGCTTTGCTGGAGTCTTCTTTATGGCCTCATAAATCAGTTAATTTAGCCTCCCCATACTTTAAGGTGGTACCTTATTTTCCTACTTGACAGATGCAACTGTCTTTCGGGTTGCAAACATCAACAACAGGCTGCACACAATTGGTTGGGAACCCACTCCAACCTGGGCTGGCTTCGAACTCATGACCTTTTGGTCAGAGTGATCTTAATGCAGCTGACACTCAGCCAGCTGCGCCACAATCTTGGCCCATTTCTCGCAAGCAGCGATCTGAGTTCAGAACCTCCTACCTGGTGGAGAGTTCTCATTGTAATGGCTTTCCATTTGTGATTCCATTTAGCCACCTGTGTGTCCATGGCTCCATTTGTTTATTGCTCAGATCAGCTGTTTTGGAATTTCTTATACAGTGATTCCTTGACTTACGAAAGACCCAATATATGTATTTTTTGCAATACAAGCAGTCACTCGATCCATTTCTCGCAAGTAGCGATCTGAGTTCCGAGCCTCCCACCTAGTGGAGAGTTCTATTGTAATTGCTTTCCATTTGTGATTCCATTTAGCCACCTGTGTATCCATGGCTCCATTTGTTTATTGCTCAGATCAGCTGTTTTGGAATTTCTTATACAGTGATTCCTTGACTTACGAAAGACCCAATATATGTATTTTTTGCAATACAAGCTGTCACTCGGCCCATTTCTCGCAAGTAGCGATCTGAGTTCCGAGCCTCCCACCTAGTGGAGAGTTCTCATTGTAATTGCTTTCCATTTGTGATTCCATTTAGCCACCTGTGTGTCCATGGCTCCATTTGTTTAGTGCTCAGATCAGCTGTTTTGGAATTTATTATACAGTGTTCCTTGACTTACACGAGATCCAACATATGAGGACAGGATCAACGCTGAAGCGTGTCCAGCGCCCTCTGCTTTTCTTTAGAGCCTTTGAGTCGCCGATAAGGCTGAGAAAGGCGGTATACAAGTACAATAAACAAACAAACAAACAAATAAAATGTCGGCCAACTATCTATGGATCCTGTTTGCCCTTTTAAGAAGGATGGGTATGAGGTGGCGGGAATTTTGGGGTGTTTTTGTGTGCCCAAATTTCAACTTTGGCAGGCTTTCCAGGCTTTGTTTGCGACTTCCAAACAGGGTTCAGGATAGACCACTACACTCCAGATTTCGCTTTGCTTGTCCCTCTGTGAATCAAGTAAATGGTAATATAGGACTGGCCACAAGAGGGCTCTGCTGGTCAAAGCAAGAACTTTTACGGACTTTTTCCGAGGTTATAGATGGAATTTCTTTTCCGTAAGCCTGACAGGAGAAGAAGAAAGGCCTCTGAAGGAAGCACGGGAACCCATAAACTGTTGTACACCAGAGCAGGAACACCTCTGATCTTAAACACCATGCTAGGTTGGTAAAATCAGCAAGCAGTTTATGGAAGAAAATAGGTAGGCAAAGCAGTAAAATTAGCAAAAACAGTAAAGTTTCCAAAACAAAGGATAGTCCATGAGCTTCAAGGCAAAATAAGATCAATTGGAACAACAATCCATGAAACAAGGCATCATGTATAATCCAATACACAAATCAGGAGCTTGGCAAAAACTTGGTACATGAAACTAAGAGCACTTGAAAACAAGACCGTGATGAACTTCCAACGTTGACCCGACTGAGGCAACTCTTTCCCATGTATCAATATAAGGCTTTTCCTGATCCCAGAACTGAAAGGAAAGCATTTCTCTTGACTTTTCTTATCTTCCCTTTAAACGAATGGATCTTCTTCGTACCTGTGCACTCTGTCTCTGTTTACAAAAGCTTTTTCTTCCATCTACACTCTCGTTAACTTGACACTCGTTAACTTCTGCAACTGGCAAATCATAGAATCATAGAACCAAAGAGTTGGAAGAGACCTCATGGGCCATCTAGTCCAACCCCATTCTGCCAAGAAGCAGGAATATTGCATTCAAATCACCCCTGACAGATGGCCATCCAGCCTCTGTTTAAAAGCTTCCAAAGAAGGAGCCTCCTCCACACTCCGGGGCAGAGAGTTCCACTGCTGAACAGCTCTCACAGTCAGGAAGTTCTTCCTCATGTTCAGATGGAACCTCCTCTTTTGTAGTTTGAAGCCATTGTTCCATTGTGTCCTAGTCTCCAGGGAAGCAGAAAGGAAGCTTGCTCCCTCCACCCTGTGGCTTCCTCTCACATATTTATACATCTTCAGATAGTTGCTCTGAGAAAAGACTGAAGAGCCTCTCCCAGGAATGTGGCCTTATGAATCTTCCTGAGATAGCTCGGACTTCTCGTCTGAGTTTAACTTAGGCCCAGGTAAACCCTCATCCCCATTTCCAACAGACCCAGGCCCACCATCAGGAACATCATCCCCATTCCCATCATGAACGTCAGATACAATCACAGGCTGGACGGGCTGACACACAACATAAACACTCTTCTCATTTTTGCCAAATAGGTGGAAAGGCGAGAACGTGGCCACCACCGAAGTGGCAGAGATCATGGCCGCCTTGGAGAGCCTTCAGGATGTCACCGTGTACGGAGTGTCCCTCCCAGGTGACCTACCATGGCAAGAAGGAACTGGGGGAGGCGGGTCCTATGCTGATTGACAAATACAGTGCCCCCCATTGTGGAGGGTTTTTTTTGCATAGCATCATGCTCATAGGCTTATGACACCTCCACTTTGTCTTCCTCCAGATTGCGAAGGTCGAGCAGGAATGGCCGCCATAGTGCTAAAGACCGGGCGGGAGTTTGACGGAGAAGAAGTCTATGCACACGCGGTGGAGCTCCTCCCACCGTATGCCCGACCCCGCTTCCTGCGTATCCAGGTATGTGACACACTTTTCCTTCCGGAGCCTTAACTCCTGGTTTGGGGGACTGCTTGCAAAACCTTCTCGAAACAGACAGAAATGTGGTCGTGTCACTCGTTGGAGTAGGGGTCCACGGACACCTTCTTGAAATGGATGGAAATGTGGTTGTGCCACTCGTTGGAGAAGGGGTCTGCGGACACCTTCTCGAAATGGACAGAAATGTGGTCGTACCACTCGCTGGAGAGGGGATCTGCGAAGACGGTCTCGAAACATGGAAATGTGGTCGTGTCACTCGTTGGAGAAGGGGTCTGCAGACACTTTCTTGAAACGGATGGAAATGTGGTCGTGCCACTCGTTGGAGAAGGGGTCTGCGGACATCTTCTTGAAACGGACAGAAATGTGGTCATGCCACTTGTTGGAGAGGGGGTCTGCGAAGTCCGTCTTGAAACATATGGATATGTTCTCGTTGGAGAAGGGGTCTGCGGACACCTTCTTGAAACGGACGGAAATGTGGTCGTGCCACTTGTTGGAGTAGAGGACTGTGGACTCCGTCTCAAAATGGACGGAAAGGTGGTCATGCCACTCGTTGGAGAAGGGGTCTGTGGACACCTTCTCAAAACGGATGGAAATGTGGTCGTGCCACTTGTTGGAGTAGAGGACTGTGGACTCCGTCTCAAAATGGACGGAAATGTGGTCATGCCACTCGTTGGAGTAGAGGACTGTGGACACCTTCTCAAAATGGATGGAAATGTGGTCGAGCCACGTGTTGGAGAAGGGGTCTGCGAAGTCCGTCTCAAAACATATGGAAATGTGGTCGTGTCACTCATTGGAGAAGGAGTCTGTGGACACTTTCTCGAAACATATGGAAATGTGGTCGTGCCACTCGTTGGAGAGGGGGGTCTCTGAACACCTTGAAACAGACAGAAATGTGGTCGTGCCACTTGTTAGAGAGGGAGTCTGCGAAGTCCATCTCGAAACATATGGAAATGTGGTCATGCCACATTTGGAGAAGGAGTTGGCGGACAATCGCAATGTTCAGAGATTTGTGTAATATTTGGGGATCTTTGTGGCGATGAGTCAGATGGAGGAAGTCAATCCAGAGAGTTATCTCTTGGTAAATTTAATGGATGAAATGCCTGGAAGTCGAGCCAGTTGAGAAGTCGGGGAGGAAGGCTTTGGGGGCCACGAAAATGGGACCTGTTTTTTTCAATTCCATTTTGTACAATTCTACGAAATAACAATGGTTCTAACGTTAGTGGTTGTGCATGTGTTGTGTGATACAGTCCACTTCCATTTATGTATACAACAGCGGGATCCGAGGCCAAAGGTAACATTTGCCTGATGCAGTCCGGAAGGCGACGTTCTGCCACCCTTTCAATATGTCAGTGTTACAGACCCAAAAGGGATAATGGGACGTGTAGTCTGATGTTCCAGGAGATGCCAGGGAAGTCTGGCTGGATAAGGAGACCATGGCTTTACGGAGACTGAATTGTAAGCCTTCGAAAATGGCTCAGGGTTAGGGGGTTGTGAGAGTTGTCATTGTGCGGGGCCCTTTGTCCTTCTCTGCACTCTAAGGTCCTATAGAGGCTCAAACGGAGTCAATGATGTGGTCGCCACTCATACTGCTTTGCTTTCTTCCTTGTCTCCAGGACCGTTTGGAGCTGACGGAGACCTTCAAGCAGAAGAAGGTCCGCTTGGCGGCCGAGGGCTTTGACCCGAACCGGATCGCGGACCCCCTTTACGTCCTGGATGAGGCAGCGAAGACCTACATGCCCCTGACCCCCAACCTCTGGGAGCGCATCATGGCCGGAGACATCCGTTTGTAATGCACCCGATGGAGCAGGGCATGCTGGGGAACCCAGTACATATCCACCCCAGATCCCAGTATGCCATGCTCTAGAACGAGTGTGGTGAGAGACCATCCCAGTATCCCAGTGCACAGTCCCATTACATCCCAGTATACCATGCTCTGGAGTGAAAAAAGCCTGCTTCTTCATATCCCAGTGTGCCGTGCTCTGGGATGAAACGAGCAGTGCATGCTGGGAGATCCAGTATGTTTCCCCCCATGTCCCAGTATATGCCATGCTCTGGAATGACCATACTGGGAGACCACTGTTTACAGCCTGATATCCCAAGTGCATACTGGGAGATCCAGTATATTCTCCCCATATCCCAGTATGCAATAACCTGGAACAGCAATGCTGGGAGGTCCAGTCTCCTTCCCTACATCCCAGTATGCCATGACTTGCCATGACCATACTGGGAGACCACTGTATCCCAGTATGGCATCCTTTAGGATGGAAAGATTAGTGCCTCCGGGGAAGTCCAGCAAATGCTCCCTATATCCCAGTATATGCTATGCTTTGGAACGGGCATACTGGGAGACCCACTGTTTGTGGTCATATATATCCCAGTATGCACTCTTCTGGGATGGAGGGAGCAGTGTGTGCTGGGAAATCCACTACATCCCAATATACTTTGGGAACAGTGCATGTTGGGAAGTCCAGTCTCCTTCCCTACATCCCAGTATGCCATGGCCTGGCATGACCATACTGGGAAACCACTGTTTACAGCCCTATATCCCAGTATGCACTTCCCACTGCATACTGGGAAACCAATATATCCCCCCAGTATCCCAGTATACTTTAACGATGGAGGGAATGGCATGTGCTGGGAGATCCAGGATACTTCCACTACATCCCAGTATACTTTGGGAGCAATGCATACTGGGAGGTCCAGTCTCCTTCCCTACATCCCAGTATGCCATGACTAGGCATGACCATACTGGGAGACCACTGTTTACAGCCCTATATCCCAGTATGCACTTCCCAGTGGGAAATCAATATTGCGCCCCAATATCCCAGTATACGTTTGGGATGGGGGTCATACTGCATGCTGAGAGATCCAGTATATTCTCCCCACATATCCCAGTATGTCATACTCCAGAACGAGCACACTGGGAGACCACTGTTTACAGCCCTATATCCCAGTATGCACTTCCCAACACATACTGGGAAATCAATATAGTCCCCCCAGGATCCCAGTATACTTTTGGAATGGAGGGGCTAGCATATGCTGGGAGATCCAGTATATATTTTTCTGATATCCCAGTATGTCAAACTCATATTCTGGCATTACCATACTGGGAGACAATCCCAGTATAGCATGCATTAAGATGGAAAAAGCGGGGCATCAAATACTCCCCACATCCCAGTATACGCCATGCTTTGGACCGCGGATATTGGGTGACCCACTGTTTACAATAGCATATATCCCAGTATGCACTATTCTGAGATGGAAACAAAAAGTGCATGCTGGGAGATCACATTATATCATTCCCAGCCCCCAGTATGCCATGCTCTTGAATAGTTAAGAGCCATGGATATTGGGAGATCCAATACATTCCTTATCTCTCAGCATTCCGAATCCGTGGATATCGAAGTCCCGTTCTATACAACGGCATCGCGAAATTAATTTTTTGTATACAATTTTGCAAAATCAAAGTTTTGTATTTAGAGGGGTTTTGCAATATTTCCAAGCCGTGGACGATGGGACCAAAAACGATGCTTTTGCAAGGATTTCCAATGCAAAAAAAGTTCAGGATTCTGAATCCGCGGATATCGAAGTCCTGTTATATACAACGGCGCCGCAAAATGAATTTTTTTGTATACAATTTTGCAAAATCAAGGTTTTGTATTTGGAGGGGTTTTGCAATATTTCCAAGCTGTGGACGATGGGACCAAAAACGATGCTTTTGCAAGGATTTCCAATGCAAAAAAGGTTCAGGATTCCGAATACGCGGATATCGAAGTCCCGTTATATAACTGTTTACTGGAACTGATCACAGGATTTTCGACATCTCCCATTATTGGATCGCTGTTGGACTCGAGACTTTTTCCGGACAGAAAAAATTGCAAAAAACTGTTGTCTTTTTCTTGCCTTACTCAATGTCTAGAACTTCATAAACTTTGGGGGAGGGATTTATAGTTTTCTATAAGCATACGATCAAAATGCATTGAAAAAATGTTTCCCGATTTCTGCGAGGAAAGCAGAATGTCAATCAAACCTATCAATCGATTGGTTCTTGAATTCTATTTCCAATAAAAAGCCCTCTTTTTATACCGTTATCAAGTTGTTCTTATTGCTCTCTGTTGTTGTTACTGCCGTCGTTGTCGTCTTTGGATCTCAATCCAGAAAGAAAAGTGAGGTCATCAGGATAACTTCAATTAGCCAATCAATCAATGCAAAGAAATACAAACATAATTGAATTGGGTTGCTGTGAGTTTCTTGGCCTGTGTGGCCCTGTCCCGGTAGCATTCTCTCCTGACGTTTCGCCTGCATCTGTAGCTAATGGCATTTTCAGAGCTCTATTGGGGGTGAGGTAATAATACATTAATAATCAATAATGATAATTAATAATCGCTGAAATGTACAAAATATAAACATGTTTATATACATGGAAAAACCATTTATCTGTTATGGCAGAAGGGGGTTGGACTAGATGGCCTTTGGGGTCCCATCTGACTAGGATTCCATCTATTGGACTAGATGGCCTTTGGGGTCCCATCTGACTAGGATTCCATCTATTGGACTAGATTGACTTTGGGGTCCCATCTGACTAGGATTCCATCTATTATGGCAGAAGGGGGTTGGACTAGAGGGCCTTCGGGTCCCATCTGACTAGGATCTATCTATTATCTATCTATTATGGCCGAAGGGATGGACTAGATGGCCTCCTTTGGGTCCCATCCAACTCTAGGATTCTTTCTTGATTATGGTAGAAGAGGGTTGGACTAGATGGCCTTCTTTGGGGGCCCTCAAACTCTTAAGATTCTCCTCTCTATTAGGGCAGAAGGGGGTTGGTCTAGATGGCCTTTGGGGTCCCATCCAACTAGAACCCCTTCTATTGTGGCAGAAGGGGGTTGGACTAGATGGCCCTGGGATCCCATCTGACTAGGATTCCATCTATTATGGCAGAAGAAGGTTGGACTAGATGGCCTTCTTTGGGGGCCCCTCAAACT